ATGTCAGATCTGATATACCATACTTCTTTTTAGCTGCTTCTCTCGACATGTTACCACCACAACTCAATGCATACTTAATAAGCCTCTTGTCTTTCTCAGAAGAAGCAAGGTCACAGACAATCTTTAAAGTTTCCCTTGAAATGATGGGAAATTGAGTGTTACAATCTGTGGACACTGACACTGTCCTCAGGAATTCTCCTAATTTTTCATAGTTTACTGCTGTATTGAGCTCTGTCACAAACAACTTTTTCTGACCTTTTTGCAATTCCAATGGAAATATTGCAACTGGCAGCTGCAATATTCGTCTTATGGCTTTATCAGACTTGTACTTGGCGCCTGGGGACAGGAAATGGGATGCAAAGAGACTCCTGAGGGGAACAATGCCACTATCATCAATTTGCTTTGCTGCATCAGTGAGGTTGGTGCATTCCTTGCATGAAACAAGATGATTCCTTTCACAGTGATCTTCTCGTGCCACAATAAACTCTTTTAAGGTCAAGTCAGTGATCAGGCTGTAATAAATTCCGTCCTTGGTGCGAGCAACATTAGACAGCGTACATGGCAAATACTTGGAATATCGCAGTACAGCATTTTCTTTGTGCCCCACAGAAATCCTATACGGTCCGTGGGGCTTTGGGAAAAAGTGGATCATCACTTTGTCCATCCTGGCTTGAGCTGTGTGGAGAACTCTGATAGTCAACAGCTGCCTCGGCACTGATGGAACTACATGATGTACTGCCTGCACTCCAACACTCACTTGGTGTACCTTCTTGCATGACAACGTCTTGAACATCGACCTCACTGCTGGTGGATTTGGTTGAAAATGCCCTACTTGAACTGGCAACATTTTTACCTGCACTGCAACACTCACTTGGTGTACCTTTTTGCATGACAGCATCATTGACATCGGTCTCGCTGCTGGTGGACTCGGTTGAACTGCATGACCCAGACACATAGACATATAGGTAGACACATCACTTGGTCCTTTCGATTTACTAATGATAAACCTTTCCATGGTTTTCAGCTCTGCTCTGCCCTTGGCACTTTTTCCCTTGTGATACTTCATTGACCGAGCATCAGCCTTTTGAAGCTTACTAAGCTCTCCTTGCAGCTTTCTCTGTTTCCCTCGCCATTCGGTTATTTGGGAGACCACTTCAGCGGCTTGAAGGTACTTTTCGCCAGTCACAAACTTGCTTCTTTGAAGCTCTAACAACTTTATGGTATCTGTGGCACTTGTCATATCCTCCACCAACTCCTCAGTTCGTCGCTGACGTTGGTCGAACAGCAACTTCTGACGCTTTGCACCTTCCTTGGCCATTTTTTCATCACCGAACACTTTTGATCTAGATCTCTGTTTCTTGTAACTGTATCCACCGGAATCAGCCTTTTCTCTTGCTAACTCGAAGAGCTTTTTCCTATCTTTAAGGAGACTGACATCCTCTTCACAACAAGCTAAGGCACATCTGTTGATTGCTTGTTCATATTTGGAAAGTGTCCAGTTTTCTGAGCGACCGTATATTCTACTCTCTCTTTCCAGGACCTCTTTGTCTACCGTTACAGCCACATTTTTTGCATCTCCAATACCCCCCTGGCAACCCTTTAAAATAAAGAAAATTAGAAATACCTTATCAATTATTAATAATGAAACACCTTTTTTTATTATTATTAATACTGTTATACACTGAAACCACGATTTAACGAGGTCCCTGATTTAACACACAAATTTATTCAGGCTGGCCAGAATTACCAAAAATGTGTGGAAAAGAACCCCGATCTAACGAACCCCGATCCGAATGTAAAATCTGCCCAGATATAACAAATACATGTCATCACACCACAGAAGATGAATAATCGACTACAGTAAAATCTTTCAATTTACCAAGAAAGTTGTCATCAGTCCATTACAGTCATATACATGTAGCTAAAATAAATAGCACCGTTGTGGCCATCTGATCATCAATTTGCACAGATATATATTTTATTATATTTCTTGAACAGTATTATGTAGCATGCGGATGTTTAAACGAGCTTGTATAATTCATAAATAATTCATAATGAAAGGAAAATACAAAAGAAATGAGTTTTTAATGAATGTCTCTAAATCCCGATGTAGATCAACTGGGGTTGATGAATCATTGAGTAAATTATTCGCCTTATTAGTATGCTTAACTTTTGATTACAATGAGGTTCTTTGTATTTATTGTTCATTTCACAAGCACAATAAAATATTCGCATGAGATCTTTATGGGATTTACATTTTACATTTTCTTT